AGATAGATAGATAGATAGATAGATAGATAGATAGATAGATAGATAGAGTAGATCAATAAGTGATAGGTGGATAGGTGGATAAACGATGGATAGATAGATGGATGAATGGATGGATGGATTGACGGATGGACAGATAGATGATAGACAGATAGATAGATAGATAGATGATAGATAGATTAGATAATGGATAGATAGGTAGGTAGACAGATAGATGGATAGATAGATTATAGATGTCTGCTACCCATTTCAGAGGTTCTTTCAAAACATCATTCATTTCTTGTTTTTGTTATGCATATGAAAATTTTGCAATTGTTCAAAATTAATTGCTGGACTATAGGTACACTGATAAGCTACAAAGGTTAAAAGGACAATGACTACAAAAGGAAACTGTAATTTTAGCTTTATGTTGAAGGACAGGCATAAAGGAACAAAACCTCACTATGAACTAGTCTGGAAAGTGAAATGCTAGGGGTTACTCTACCAGTTAATATGAAATGCTAGGGGCTAATCTAACAGTTAACATGAAATCTGACAATTAACATGAAATGCTAGGGGTTAACCTAATAGTTAACATGAAATGCCAAATAGGAGGCCATTGTGGGAAAGTACAAAAGTCACGTGACCTGAGTTTGGATATTACAGATAAGACTAGGGATAATAATATGTTTGATATCCTTCTTTGGGAACAGTTATACTTCAGATGAGTACTGGAGTATATGATACTGGTTAATCACAAGAGCTGTTTACAAGGATTAATCTTGAAAGGAATAGCTACAAACCAATTTTAATTGAAAATAACAAAGTAAAATCGCTTCTATAAATGCAAGCTCAAGCAAAAGAGCACCTGTGTTTAGTTACAGACTCTGGGTTTCATTTGGATGAGTTTGGCTGAACATTTCGAAAGGTTCTTTAGAATACAAAATTAATTAGGTGTGGCTCTAAATGCAAAACTGAAGAGTACTTTATTAATAATGATTAAAGCAGCTAGGAAGAATGTACTCTTTTAACATAGAAATAATGAGTTGGTAAAAGTAAGTCTCAATGTGGCATAAAAGCTAGACTGAGTACTAGGATTCACTGCTAGTGAAGTGATTATTCATTCTAGAAAAACATACCCTTAAAGTCTATGCATCAAAAAAAGCGTAAGTACTCTTGATATCAAATTTGAAGTGTCATTTATAGCAAGCAAATAAAAATTCAAAATATAAATTCTGCTAATACAAAGGCTATAAAATAAGCTAGAGAAATAGATTTCACACGTCACTCAGGGAAACCCCACTCAGCCATTATCAGAGAGGCATCCTCCTGCAGTAGATAGGTAGTAATACAGAGATCGACAGCTGGATTACATGCAAAGAATGAGAGATCCTGGAACCCCCAGTACAAATATGGATGTCCCTATCTAATCCCTTCTCTCTTGGCTGAGGTAGGTTTGCAGAAGAGGAGGCAGAAAGATTTTACGAACCAAGAAACTGTCTTCCAGACACAACAGGGCTAGTGCACATAAGAACTCAGAGACTGTAGCAATACACACAAGGGCTACACATGTTCAAGACAGACAGAAGCCCAGCTCGAGAGGAGGAAATGGCCATGATCATCCATCTCCAAACAAGATGCTATCTCCAACTGACAACAGTTTGGGAAGGGAAAATTTAGTTGTCACCAATGGAATTTTGCTGGGTATATAAACCGCACATAAGGGTAATCTCCATGCCCAGTTGTAGAAGGCCAACATAAAATGAATTCAGTAGTTTTTTTTGTAGATGTTTTATTTCATATTACTTTGTTTTTTATTTTTTTTTATCTTCCTGGTCTTTTTGCTTGTATTTTATGATTTCTGATTTTGTGATTACATGTTTTTTTCATGTATGTGTGTGTGAGAGTGTTTGTGTGTGTGTGTGTGTGTGTGTGTGTTGTGTGTTATGCTTTTTCATGATGTTCCTACCCCATTTTTTTTCTTAAAGAGGAAAAGAACAAAGACTTGGAGTTGGGTGAGTAGGTGAGAAGATCTGGGAGGATGGGGAAGGGAAACCATTAGGCAAATACATTGTGGAACATTTAGTTAAAACACACACACACACACACACACACACACACACACACACAGAGAGAGAGAGAGAGAGAGAGAGAGAGAGAGAGAGAGAGAGAGAGATATGAATGTTGAAATCAAACTTTTAAAGTTTCAAAGGCTTTTTTTTCCATCTTTTTCTGTGGTGCATGGAGCATTTTGATGAAGACTAAGGAAGAAATTTATACAGTCTGGAGGTGGTTGTCAAGTAGGAAGGGAGTACTGATAAAGAAAACTAGGGTAAGGAAAAGCACACATATCTAAATGAACACATGAGGGTAAGAATTCCTGTACAGACACGTGAACAAAAAGGGGGAAAATGGCAGCTGTGAGTGCACGCCCATCTTATAGCTTTGAGATGCTGTAATACATTTGAAGATCTAACAACCAAAAAAGTAAACCAGTTTCTAGAAATGCAAGTTTACAAAGAGTGCAAAATGGGTGAACTCAGAAGGGAGAACCTAGGCAAGCGCTGTACAGTTAACGAGGAGGACAACATGGGAACGAGCAGAAAGAAAGATCCGGGGGGTTCCACCTGCTCTTTATTACACAGCTCTCATAAAGGCGGGTCCAACTTAGATGTGTCACTAAAATGTGAAGGCCGTGAACACATTGCCTTTAAATCTCTAACAAACTAACCTGTCTCTTGTACAGAGGTAGATTTAAAACTAATTACAACTTTAAATCAATTCCTGCAACTTCATTCTAAACTATTAGCATATTTGTATGGACTAAAATGCTGGATGAAATCAAACATTTGTATTATTGGACAAACTCTAACCATAAACCAATCATAAGAAAATTAGGCTTCATTTAGAATCATTTATATTAATATTATATAAAATAATCAATTATATTTTATTTAGAATCAATATATAAAGCCATTAATACATGTAAATATATTAGTATTTATGCCTCTGACATGATTATTTTTAAAAACTTTAAGATTGAACATATTCTAAGTATAATATTAAATAATATTTTCAAGTTATACTTAGAGAAAGTTTATATTAATAGATAAAAAAGTGATTCCTGGTATTGTGTAATTCCATGCACAGATTTTGTTTGAATGACAACTCATATTGAACAATCTTTCTGTCAGGTAAAAACCAGCAATGGTCTTATATTCAATAAATTTTATATGAAGGAGAATATAAAAAGAAAAACTTAGACCCTTCCGCCTTTAAATTTTTATTTGTAGGGGTTGTGTTTCATTTCAAATTTGATTACTAGAACTTTAGAATGACAAAACATCAAGATGCTGCAATTAAATAAACTGTTTTATTATAAACTTGTTTTAATAAGCTGTCAAGTATACGTTAATTTGTACTTCTGGCATCCAATGTCATTATATTTGAAAGTGGCTTCATAATTGCACTTGTGATGAAATAGCTCAAAAACACAAGTTAATCAGCACTCAGGACCACTATAGTCAGATCCTACTCTGCCACAGGTGCTAAGAGCAAACATTCCAAAGAGTAAAATTTGTCATCTTCTGGTCCCAGAAATATTAAGCCAGAGCATCTCAGTATCAATTCATTAATCCCAAAGCAAAT